CACATTTTTATAGCATAGAAAAAGGACTTACTTGATGTCCAAGAATGGTACAATAGTCGTGCTAGATGTTGAGTGCAAGTTGGTACCAAGTTGCTTGCAAATTTCCTTCAAGATTTCCAAGATTTTCAAGATTCTATCCAAGATTGGTTTGGGACTTATTTTCATATATTATGGGACTATATTTATTGCTTTCCTAGTTAGTTAAGGTTATATTTTCCTTTTCCTAAGATTGTTGAAGTTACTTTCCAAGATTGACTTGGTTTTTGTTTCCTAGTATTTTTCTTTTTCCTAAGGTAGTTGGACTTGTTGTCCAAAGTAGTTTAGGACTTTATTTCCTTATTTTTTTAGGCTTAATTTCGTGACCCCTCCTACCTATATAAGGGGTGTCTTCTTTGTTTTTAGACTTAGATTATTCAGACTATTATCAATAAAAATTGTGAGATTTTTCTTGCACTTTTGTGTGTGGCTACTCTTGGATTTATTCTTCAACCTTCAAGACTCAACTTAAGGTTGTAAGATTAAACTCTTTTGAAATCTTAGATCACTTCTAGGTATTCAAGAAAGGTGATAAGTTTAGGCTTATTGTTGTTCTTGTTATTCTAAGGGGTCGGGCTTCACAATTTTATCTCTTTTTTTTAATTCTCTACCAAAGGCGATTAGTTCTTTGTTAGCTAATTGTTGTTGTTAGGATTCAACTTCAAGAATAGACTTCTTGAATTCAAGAAACTCTTTCTTGAATTCAATCTATCTTTAATTTTCCGTCCTTTTTTGTTTCTTTGTTTTTTTAGCTTCTGCACGTTTCTTGTTTTTCTTTGTAATTCTTGAATCCCCTATTGTGTTGTTATCAGTGGTGGTGGGTGGTGATGGTTAATAATGGCAGGTGGTAGTGGTAGTTGTGATTGAGGAAGATGGTGGTGAGTGGTGGTAGTTTATAATGATGGATTGTGCCAGCTATGGTTGTTGATGGTGATGAGGTGTTTAGTTCTGGTAGTTGAGGTGGATAAATGTTGGTTGTGGCTGAGAATGGTGGTGGTAGGAGTAGTGGGTGGTGGTAGTCGATAATGGTGGCGGCTATGATTGAGGATGATAGTGGTGGCAATGGTGGTGGTTGAGTATAATGGTGGTGGTGGTAGTGGCGGCATGGTGATAGTTGGTAATTGGTAGTGGTAGGCGATAGCGGCAGTTAATAATGAATATGGATGATAGCATCTTAATGAAATTAAGTTTCTGTTATACAGGCTTATTCAGACCCATTAAGTGGTTGTGAAGTAAAAAAACAAGCACACTTAATGATTAAGATCTGAATAATTAAGATTCAAACTTTAAAAATAAACGCACTTAATGTATGAGATCTGAATGATTAAGATTAATACCTCCATTAAGTGCAAACAAATGAGACCTGAATCAACTTCTTAGTCTAATTTTGGAAGTTAATCAATTTTGAAAAAATGAATATTACGGAAATGTCACAAAAAAGTCTCAACTTACCAAGCTCTAGACATTAATCATATACACAGTGATTAGAAACACTAGGTGCAAGACGGAAGGAAATTTCATGGATGAGGTAGCAAATAAGGTGATAAAATGCAAATATATATATATATATATATATATATATATATATATATATATATATATATAGCATAACATGAAAATTGGTTCCGGAAAAGCTTAGTTTTTATTGTGAAGTGTTGTTATATAGGGATGCTGTTATAGAGGGATGCCGCGAATCCCCGGCAACGGCGCCAAAATTTGATCACGCCCACAATTCCTAACTTATAGATATTAAGATTCTTGTGTTTAACTACTTAACTAACAAATTAAAATAGTAAATTAACAACTAACGATACTGAGGGTTAGAGAAAAGATTAAGGAGGTCTAGAGTTATGATTTCCCCAATTGTCGGAATCCTTCCCGCTATGTCTTCTATAATTTCGCCTAAGTATTCTCTACCGATCATGAGCACTCTTATTACCGTAAATCTCTCCCGGGTAATTACGACAATTTACTAGACGCACTCTCCCGAGCTACGCTAGCTGGCTTTTAATACAGCTCACTTCAGATCGCACCCAAGGCTTCGTTATCCCTAATCCCACCTTTAAACCCTCGGTTATTGATCCCTCATATACTCTGGGAGTGGTGTTGTTCAACAATTACCTAAATATGCACTCTCTCCCGAGTTATGCATACTAAATAGGCACAGCTAATTGAGAGCTCTTCAACCAACCACAATATAAACGTAGTTGAACAAATAGAGAAAAGCTATGGCTCAATTATATAAAAACATAACAAGAATTTATCCTACAAAAGGTTCTATCAAAACTCTAGATAACAAATTAGCTATTCATAATAGTATGTAAAACTACAATACTAAAAGTCATAACCAACAATGAAAAATATAGGAAGAGGAAGGAAAAAACTCGTAGAAGAATTCTCCGCCTTGCTCCCAATGTGTTCTTGCCTCCAAGGGTGTTGTCTAACCCTAAAGTAGTGTCTCTTCGCCTCCTTAGGTCTAATTTGTGTCCAAAATATGTCCCTCCTCTTGTTCTTGGCCGGCCTCCTTTGTTTAATATAGGGTTTAGGACTTAAAATCCCATGTTTTGCACTTTAGTCCCTGAAATTTTCGCTTCCTGCCGCGGTCCCACCACGGTCGCGGTCAAACCGCGGCCAAACATACTCTCTGATTCTTCAGTTGTCCGCGAGTACACTCTGCCGCGGTCGCGGTGGAACCGCAGTTTTTCACCCTGTTCCGTTTGGAATTTGGAAAAACGTAAAACATGAAAGTTGTAGCCCTTTGAGTTAGCTTTCCAACCATATATTGTGGAGCCCAAATGGAGTTCTGAGCAAAAGGTTATGTCTATTTTACTAGACAGTGCGCAATATGCCTCCTCAAGTCTTCGTTCGTACTTAATTATCAAATTTGACCCCCGAACACGATCCCGGCTTAATTCCTTGAGCTTTTACTCAGACTTCAAAGCTTCAAATCACTTAAATTCATTCCATAACATCTATATAGCTCGGAATCACACCTACAAGGCATAAAACACACAATTAGTGCAAAACACTAGCGATTAAAGCGCAAACTCAATTAAAGTGCAGTAAATTCGAGTGTAATAAGCGACTAAAATATGCAATTATAGCCTATCATCAGTCTGACTATAGAAGAATCAAGATATAGAATTTGAGGAAGATTTGGACTGATTTGGTATCAAAATTCATTAGTTAAAATCAAGTTCAAAAAATTCTTCTGCGACACATGTATCACACACAGGTATATGTGATACACATTTGTTACACAAAAGATATACATATGATACACAAATCATACACAGTGTGATACACATATTATTTTTTCCATGTTCATGTTCATCTTCAACTACGAATTTTTAATTCAAACCAGCTCAAAACTCCACTAAATCATCCCAAAATTGAGATTCAAGTTGCTTAAGATATACCTAATCAATTCTAATAACACTCACTCAAAAAGAAAGTAAAAAAATTAACCTTTTTTAGCTACAAATAGCTAATTGGCTACTATTGGTAATAGTTGGCTAATATTTAATATCTTTTGAATTGGCCAATTTTTGTAATAAGCTACTTATTATTGGACATAGAGAAACATATCAAAATACACAAAGACTATCTTATAGTTTATGTTTTTTTTTAAATTAATCTTATAGTTTATGTTGACTTACATTATTTTCGCAAACACATCCTTCATTTAGTACTAGCTAGGGTTGCTTATCGGGCGGACCGATTGGATATTATATTTAACGGTTTGATTAATTGGTTATCGAATTTTAAATATACTAATTCGCTAGTCAAATCCGATAAGATATTAGTTGATTTGGTATCGAATTAGTGATTATCGACCGATTTATCATTTAAATCAATAACGTATATCAAGATAGAAGTTAAGTCTGACCTAAAAAAAAACTTTCAATTTCAAATCCAACAATATATTTGTTCATTTGGAGTGAGTAAATGACACAATGCATGTCATCAATTGGGCTGCTTTGCATGCGTACATTGTGATTTTGTCAGTCTTACTGGTTTCTTAACGAGTTAATAATTTATCTGATAAAGAAATTGAATAATTCGTCTCTATATTAATAAATTGCTATCTATAAAATTTCAATCCGTTCACCAATAGTTAAACTAATAAATTGGATACCAATAAAACAATAAGCTAAATTTGCGATTCAGTTAACAGTTCGATTTTGAATAACTGTAATACTTAGCAAAGTACACTACTAGAAACTTTGGACGATCAATTAAATTAAAAAAAAAAGTTACCGGAAAAATCGACCAAAGTTGGCCGGTATTTTAGTTATGTAATTAAAAAATGTGCCATTTGGGAATCGAACCTGGGTCTGTACTATGGTAGGATACTATTCTACCACTAGGTCATTGGTGTACTTTGTATTAAGACTGTCTTTTATTTCATTTATACTCTTTAATTGTATTTCGCACGAACATAACCGACAAGTTGATCGGTTTTATTAAAAAATAAAATTACCGACCAAAGTTGGTCGATTTTTTAAAATGACCGTCTGAATTAACCGACCGGTTTCGATTGATTTTTTTAATATTAATTTTAATTTATTTTAAATAAAAAACCGATCAAAGTTTGTCGGTTTCTTGAAAAATAAATTTTGCGGGACTCAAAAATAGTTTCCTGTATTTTTGCGCCAAAGAAAACCGACCAAAATTCGTCGGTTTCGTAAAAAAGATTAAAAAATAAAATATGTTGAAAACCGACCAAAATGATTGATCGATCGTGCTCGGTATTTGCCGAATTTCTAGTAGTGGTATTTGATTCACGAATCCCAGTTTAAACAGATTTTCAAGTTTGCAATTTCCATTTCCACAATCCTTACATCTATTTACAGTCTTAGCCCTCTCAAACACTGGTCAAATACTAACAAATCTAAGGCTAATATTGTCATTCATTAACGTTCTTTCTACGGCACATATCCCTATCCACTAATTCCCCAATTGGCCCTCTCTTTATCTCTCTTATTGATTTGAGAAAAAATTGCATTTTCGACATTAGGGTTTTCCAATTGCCCTCGACATTCGTCAAATTTACGCCCTTACACTGTTCATCTTCTCTCTGCATCTTCTGGTTAGTAACTTATATAATTAACATATCTATATTATTGCAGCTCAGCTATTAATTATGGCCATTTTTGGGTCCTAATTAGATCTCTTCAACAACTGAATAATTGCAGCAGCATATTTCAGGTAAAGATAAAACCCCTTGTAGTTTTCTTGGGTTTTTAATTTGTCTTTGTTTGTGTTACTCTGTATTTGAATGAAGCAGAATGCATATTAAAGGTTTTATTTCTGTGTATGTGATATTCTTCGAGTTTGACCCTATGTTGATGACCAATCTGGATTGTTTAAACTCATGATGAACTGTCAGTTTGGAGCTAATTTTAGCTTACTTAAGCTACATTCTGTTATTTGTCGATGGCTATGTAGTTTTAGAAATGTGTACATTTGCAGAGATGACTAGGGTATATGCAAGTATAAGAATTTGGATTGATGTTACTAGGTGATTTTTTCTCATCTGCCTATTTGCCTAAAACTTGGTTGGTAGAGTTACTCGGTACGAGGTACCTAGTGGAATAGTTTGAGGTGTGGCAAGCTGGCTCGAACACCACCGTCATTTGAAAAAAAAAAAGAATTTGAATTGATTTTTGCTTGTTGTGTTTTCTTGTTATTGAGTTTTTTAATGATAAGCAATTGATCATTTTTCCTGTGTCAATTGGTAGATATTGAAATTGGAGTGATTTGTGAATCCCCAGTAGCACATTTGGAAATTTTGGCAACTTCAAGAAAAATGAGTGATTATAGTTGGGAGGTTTAGCAACGAGGTTTAAGCTGTAGAGTTATGGGGGATCATGTATTGGAATCAGCACATGAGATAGTAGTATCAGGGCCTGATTCAAATGGTCAGCAGTTTACAGCAGTACCCGGATCGAATGGGGTGTTGATTGACCAACCTTTAGCAATTGGGCAAGAGTTCCCGGATGTTGATGCATGTAGAAGGACTTTGAAAGAGATAGCTATAGGATTGCATTTTGAAATTCGAATAGTCAAATCAGATAGGAGTAGATTCATAGCTAAGTGCTCCAAAGAAGGTTGTCCATGGCGTGTTCATGTGGCAAAATGTCCGGGAGTTCCTACATTTACAATTAGGACTCTTCACGGTGAGCATACGTGTGAGGGGGTTCAGAGCCTTCACCATCAGCAAGCATCAGTGGGTTGGGTTGCAAGATCAGTGGAATCACGGGTGAGGGATAATCCTCAGTATAAACCAAAGGAGATTTTGCAGGATATTCGAAGTCAGCATGGGGTTGCTGTGTCTTATATGCAAGCATGGCGAGGAAAGGAGCGCAGCATGGCTGCTCTACATGGAACCTTTGAAGAAGGTTATCAGCTTCTTCCTGCATATTGTGAACAGATAAGGAAGACTAATCCAGGGAGCATTGCATCAGTTAGCACGGGTCAGGAGAATTGTTTCCAACGATTGTTTGTCTCATATCGTGCAGCAATTTATGGATTTTTAAATGCTTGCCGACCACTTTTGGAACTTGATAGAGTGCATTTAAAAGGAAAGTACCTGGGTATGATATTTTGTGCTGCAGCTGTTGATGCTAATGATACGTTGTTTCCTTTGGCAATAGCTGTTGTCGATGTGGAAAGTGACGAGAACTGGATGTGGTTTATGTCCGAGCTCCGCAAACTTCTGGGTGTAAATACTGACAGTATGCCAAGACTTACTATACTGTCTGAGAGATCAGCGGGTATGGTTGAGGCAGTCGAGACTCATTTTCCAAATGCATTTCATGGTTTTTGCCTACGTTATATCAGTGAGAATTTCCGAGATACATTTAAGAACTCAAAATTAGTGAATATATTTTGGAATGCAGTATATGCACTTACCGCAGCTGAATTTGAGAGCAAAGTCGCCGAGATGGTTGAGGTTTCACAAGATGTCCTACAGTGGTTTCACCATTTCAATCCACAGCACTGGGCTGTCGCATATTTTGAAGGATTACGATATGGTCATTTTTCATTGGGAATAACAGAAGTGTTGTATAACTGGGCACTGGAGTGTCACGAACTTCCTATTGTGCAGATGATGGAACATATCCGCCAACAGATGATATCATGGTCTAACGATCGTCGTAACATGGGCATGAGGTTGACGTCAATACTCGTGCCATCTGCTGAAAAGAGGATTTCAGAAGCAATTGCTGATGCTCGCTGCTACAAAGTTCTACGAGCAAATGAAATTGAATTTGAGATCGTATCAACTGAGAGGACAAATATTGTGGACATACGAAGTCGTGTGTGCTCATGTCGCCGTTGGCAACTCTATGGTGTGCCGTGTGCACATGCTGCTGCTGCACTTATTTCTTGTGGACAGAATGCCCAGTTATTTGCTGAGCCTTGTTTCACGGTTCACAGTTATCGTGAAACCTACTCACAAATGATATACCCAATTCCTGACAGGAGTCTTTGGAGAGAGGCTGGTGAGGGTACAGAAGGTGGAGGAGCAAAAGTTGATATTCTAATTCGGCCACCAAAAACCCGACGACCACCTGGCAGGCCCAAAAAGAAGGTTCTTCGCATAGAGAGTTTAAAGCGTCCGAAGAGAGTAGTTCAATGTGGTCGCTGCCATATGTTGGGGCATTCTCAGAAAAAATGTTCTTTGCCTGGTTGATCCTGGGTTAGTACTTAGTTGTCAGTTCTCTTTGCTCATTCAGAAATTTTCATAGAAGAGTTTTAAGCTGCATGTACTTAGTAACGGCTTAGTAATGAGATTTTAATTGGTCTCTGCCTTATCTGTTCACCAGTTGTCCTTGAATATATCTCAGGAGCATGTTGTGTACCTTGTATTATATAACTGTATAACTAGTTGAGTTTCCATGGAATTGTACCAATGAAAGCCTTTTTCATGTGCTGGTTTCTGTTTATCTAAGCTTGGTTTCGGATACCAGATACTTAAAAGGAAAAAAAGAAGAGAATTCAGTGGTCTCTGGTGCTGAGTTTCTTAAGAGCTTCTTCATTGGCCATATTGTGTGGTTCAATGTCTGTATGATAAAATACGGCTTTATCTTATATGATAGGAGGTTTTTACAGCGACTTCCCTAGCAGTTTCTGATAGTGAATTTGATGGAGTTTTGTATTGATCCCAGGAGAAAAGGCGAGGCTAGTTTCTGGACCTTGCGACTTGAGAAAGCAAGAGCAACTCGATGAAACTTAGATTATACAGAAGCTTCGTGGCCTCTATTTCGTGCAGATTAGAACAGAATCTTGCTTCGTGCATGGCAATCGAAGCCCTCCCCCCGACCCCCCCCCCCCCACCAACCCAACCCAACCCAAATACAAATATCCAAAGAAAAGGAAAACCAAATTGTAATCCAGCAGTAGTATTCCATTACAACGTATTCATTAGTCTTGATATGCATTTCCATTTACGAAGAAGAAAAAGGATTTAATTGAACTGCAACTCTGCAACAATGAAGACAGTGTCACAGTTTGATTCTCTAAGTTGACAGCTAATGATTGGCGTAATTTACCAGCAAAAAATGACATCTAGAGACAGGAAGAATTCTAGGATCAAGAATGAGCCAGAGTTCATAATCAAGGAGAATATTGGTGGAAATTGACATATATAATAGGCAATTTTGTTATAAACCAAAATTTATGTATGATTAATCTGTAAGGGCATGAGATCTTTACAAGTCACCCTACCTAGTGTATATCCTAACAACACAAAAACTGTTGAGAAACAACACTAAAGACCTAAGTAGACAATAATGAAATTTAAAACCTAGTACTCTATATTTTTGCAGTTGAATAATCAAGAGGCTCTTGCATTTCTCCCATTTCTTTTACTGATGGCTTCACATAACCTGCAAGGTAAAGTATCCAGACTTGCTGCTCGGGTCTTTCTATAGTTTCCAAGCACACCACATCTTCTCCATGCATGGTACTCTGCATATGCTACCGGATCATTAGCAACAGCCTTAACATAGGAAGCCAGTTCCTCCAAAGAGCTAAACTTGCTTCCATCAATTATTGAATGTGGAGGTACAAAATCCCAGACATTCACGGCGCCAAAATAAATGGGGACTGCGCCAGAGTCAAGTGCGTAAAACAACTTCTCTGTTACATAACTCTCTGTCCTAGTGTTCTCAATCGCAAGGACAAACTTGTAATGTGACATAGCGCAATGTAAATGGTCCCACCATTTGGGTGCTTCCTTAAAATCCTTGATGCACTCAGGATAGAGGGAGAGTGCCTTGTCTAGACCTCCAACATTGTTGAGGCACTTGCCAAATGAATGGGAAGGTAACAAGCTGAGTAGACGTTTGGCAAGCTGGTTTCTTTGAGGAAGACAACGTGATGATGACCAATAAACAAGAGTATCCTACGAATTTACAAATCGCTAGAAATTATAACAAGCACTTAAAAGAATGAGTGAGTAATATCATTACCCTCAGTGATTGAATATTCTACACGCAAATTGAAGGAACAAAGAAACCTTTCACTTACATTGTTCTTGTACGGAGAAAGGTGATAGTTTCGATTATTATGAAAAAGTGCACCCGCATAGGTTGACTGGACATCATCTTCTGCATGATAGCTAATAAATATATCCTCATACCCTGATTTCTTTCTACCAGCTTCAAGATCCATGTATACACGTAATGGATCACCTTGACGTCTCTGATAAGGAAAATAACAACCGTGAGGAGACTGCAGAAAAGAAAACGACGCATGTGGCATGTGCAAAAAGTAAGCAAAAGTTTGACGTAATTTAGATTAACAGTGGGGTCTCAGCGAACATAATTCTCCCTTCCCTTGGATGGAGAGGCTTAAAACAAGAGGGAGAGGGAATAGGCCAGAGATTGATGCTGAAATAACAACTCTTAAGATATATTTTGGAAACTTCAAAGAATCAGCAATATGTTTTCCAACAGAGACTATTTCTTTAGGAAGCTCAGCATTTAAGAAAGAAACTTCGGGAGGAAGTACTATAATAATGGTCACAAAAAGCAAAGATTCAACAGGCAATTCTCAAATGATGAACCTTCCCAGACAAAAGGAATACGTAAACCAGACCAAAAATAAGGAATGGAAAATTTCCAAATTGACTGAGGCGCTTGGAAACCATAACAAACCTAAAGTGTACCTTTAAGACGGATAATTCATTTTAATCAATTATTTCATGCATCAGATTGTAGTGATGAGAAGCTAGATAAATACAAATAATTTTGATTCTCATATACCCTTTGCTGATAGCATAGAAAGCAGTACTGCGGCTATCATATGGAATACAATTATTTTTTATACGATAAAATGTTGAATAGCAAAAACAGAATCAACTAGGGAAGTGAAATCTTAGGCACTAAGTCTTAGGTCCAGCAGAGAGTATTTCTGTGGATTACAAAGTGAAAAAGTCACCAGAGCACCAAAAAATGGCCCTAAGCCTGTGAACAAAATTGCTCAATATGGAACACCAATTTATAGATTTGCTACATGGTTGTAATTCTATCCACCAGTACTTCAACATCTATGAGAACAAACAGCTATCTTCAATGCCCTAACAATCTGCTAACAACTATCCTCACATTTAACATCCTAACACTATTTACAGTAAGTAGCTATATCACTGAACATAGCAGGAGTGCAGGGCGCCAAAAAAATATAGTCATACAGCACACATGAATTTTGCAAAGGGTAGATCTAAAAGGAGCATTGTACATGTTCAGTTCACATCAATGCGTGTATAGACTTACTAATTGGTAATTTGAAACAAGTCAGAGCAAAAGCGTAGATAAGTCAAATAGTAATTATTTCACAGAGCAAGTACAGCAGACAATTTTTTCGGTTTTCCGTCACAATTGAGTGAAAGACATTGACCACTTTTATACAAACACAAGATTTAAACTAAGATTAAATCATGAACTATTAGTAAACGATCATTGTCTCAGATGTACCAATTACCAAAATCGCTTCCCTTATCCATAACGCAGAGTCGGATATCTCCTACCACTATAAGTAATGGATAATTTTTTTTCCATTTCTCTCCGTACATCAATAAATATCCGGGGAAGAACAAGTGAAAGACAACCATTTGGTTGGTGAAGATCATTGCTATGAGGCTCCGTTCGAAAACAATTGTCTGTGACATATGTATGAAAGTAATCAGTGACCGCGGGTTAGTCTCAAGAAAATAAATGTCAAAAGGCTTCATTTTCCATTCCCTAGAAATAAATGCTTCTTAGCTGCATGCTCCAATGATTAGCTTTGCAACGATATCAGAATATTAATGTAAAGGATGTGCAAAGAGTTACAGCGTTGAAGAGGAGAGGAAGCTGAGGCTTCAAGTTTGTATTGCTGGAGCTACGAGCTACGGCAAGTCAAAACCAAGTTTAGGATGGAGAGGCCCCAGAACATAAAGACTAACAAGAAGCTAAACATGCAAAAAGAAGAGCGGCAATAAGGAGATGATTCAAACGCATATTATATCCACATGTATCAATTTCACATAATTAAACATGGTTAGATAATATCTGCAGTGCATCTAATGGCACTGATCGCCTCCCACATTCCAAAGAAAAAGAGAATTCTAATGTATTTGAATTAAAAGCTTGTTAAGCTGCTTAATTTAGATGGCTCTGAGGTTTTGGATCAAAACATGTAAATGCCTAAACTCGTCATACCCTAAATTTATAAAAAAGTGAAACGAGGTAAATGGAATAGAGATAGACAAGCTGCATCCTCTAGGAAACTGATTATTTGCAAAATATCACTCCTGTCTTGTGACATGTCAGATGACACTAGAAAGGTAATTCCCTGAGTGTCATTGATGAGGCATAAGAAATCATATGCTTATGCCATCAAGGTTAAATTCTTGGCCACTTTTAAGCGACTGGACATATTGATCTTAGAATATTAGACATTCAGTCATATTTATTTAGAGAAATCGTTTCATTCGTGTTAAAGCAGCTGCATACCTTCAAGGTTGAAGAAAAATCTTTCGACCTTGCCTCAAACCCAAATTAGTTGGGGTTGGGAATATGATCCTCTGTTTCCATTCTGTCTATGCCAAACGGATGTAACTCCAGTTTTGATTAATTTAATTTATTAAGGAAGGAAATTATTTTTTAACATAAGTGAGGGTTTTCTGACACTAGAGTTTCTCAACATGTCACATTTATTCTACAGCGACATACAAATTCTAACCAGAATAAAAAGCTCCTAACAAACACCGGAACCCAATGTAAGTGTAACAACAACAACAACAACAACAACAACAACAACAACAACAACAACAAAGCCTTATCCAGCTAGTTGATCATTTCCCTCCACTCTGTCTAGTCCACATTCATTCCTTAAGAGTGTAGGTGTTTAGAGCCTTGGACCGTAACGAACCAAAATCCAAACAATCAGGAACTACCATAAAGTAAAAATATAGCTTTATCCAGATGCATTATTAATGTTGATTTCCGCAGCAAAAAATTGCTCATTCATGCTTTAAGATAAAAGAGCTAATATTGGTTAAGAATAATACCTCAAGAGGAGGAGTAGCAGTCTCAAACAACAAAGCATCAGGCTTATCAGCTAGAACCTCGGATTTAGTCCACAAACAGCTAAGCCCACATCGACAAGAGTACAAATTATCCAAATTATCAGGAATCCAAGTCCACCCTTTAACTAATACACTCACATGATCCATGTTGAGCTCATCACACTTCAGTTCACCCTCATCAACCTTTTGCAAAGAACCAGAAGAAGAAGAATTTAACGACAACCCTTTGTGTTTATCCCTGAATTGAGCACAACCCACTTGAGAATCCCATTTTTTGAAAGCAACGAACAAGTTGCTAAACGGGTCGGGCTTGGAAGCTGAGATGGTGGTCAAGATTTGATTTTTAGTTGATGGGATT